TGGTCATCAAGTGACTTTGAAAGAAAACAGATTCTTTGGCTTGCAGAAATGAAAATGACTGAAATAAACTAGTAGATAAATAGATTTATGATGTATATGGATGGGACTTATATTCACCAAATTCAGGTGTACAGGAACTTAAGGGGACAATCTTAGAGAGTCAGTCTGAGGCCAAATGGAAGGAATTATTTCTTTATACCAAACAAAACCAGAGCCAGCTCCATAGACATGTGGGCTGTACACTTGCATAGGGGACCCTGTGCCTAGAAGAGCCTCTTCATGGTTTAATGCTTTGCTGTTGAGGTCTTGAAATTCTTAATATTTTTTGAACAAGAAACCCCACATTCTTCTTTTTGAGGTGAGCCCTGCAAATTACGTAGCTGGCCTTGCAATAACATGGAGAAGTCATTAATCTTGAGAACTGTTGACATTAACAGTATCAATAAGGTAAAAAAAAAAAAAGTTTGGATAAACTCAAAAGTTAATGTGGAAGTCTCTTATAGAGTCTGATTTTAAAAAGCTAGATATTGGTACTCATTGTAGTTTTGATTTGCATTTCTCTAGTGACCAATGATGATGAGCTTTATTTCATATGTTTGTTGGCTAGATAAATGTCTTCTTTTGAGAAGTGTCTGTTCATATCCATCGCCCACTTTTTGATGGGATTGTTTTTTTCTTGTAAATTTGTTTAAGTTCCTTGTAGATTCTGGATATTAGCCCTTTATCAGTTGGAGAGATTAAAAAAATTTTCTCCCATTCTTTAGGTTGCCTGTTCACTCTGATGATCAGTGATCATTAAAAAGTCAGGAAACAACAGATGCTGGAGAGGATGTGGAGAAATAGGAATGCTTTTACACTGTTAGTGGGAGCATAAATTAGTTCAACCACTCGTGGCAATTCCTCAAGGATCTAGAACCAGATATACCATTTGACCCAGCAATCCCAATACTGGGTATATACCCAAAGGATGATAAATCATTCTACTATAAAGACACATGCACACGTATGTTTACTGCAGCATTATTCACAATGGTGAAGACTTGGAACCAACCCAAATGCCCATCAATGACAGACTGGATAAAGAAAATGTGCCACATATACATCATGGAATACTATGCAGCCATAAAAAAGGATGAGTTCATGTTCTTTGCAGGGACATGGATGAAGCAGGAAACCATCACTGTCAGCAAACTAACACAGGAACAGAAAACCAAATACTACATGTTCTCACTTGTAAGTGGGAGTTGAACAATGAGAACACATGGCCACAGGGAGGGGAACATCACACACTGGGGCCTGTTGGGGGGTTGGGGGGCTAGGGGAGGGATAGCATTAGGAGAAATACCTAATGTAGATGATGGGTTGATAGGTGCAGCAAACTACCATGGCACGTGTATACCTATGTAACAAACCTCTATGTTCTGCACATGTATCCCAGAACTTAAAGTATATTACAAAAAGGACCTCAAAACACACACACACACACACACACACACAGACACACTCTAGATATTTTTAGTTTTCCCAAGTTTGATGATTATGTAATAAAGGCCAACTACCAACAGAGGGCCTGATAGAGAATGAAATTTCCTTTCTGAAACCCAAGTGGAGCATGTTAACTGCTACAAATTTGAGTAAACAATAAATTGCAGAAGAAATACTGATCAATTATCTTTCAAAAGAACAAAAACTTGAAATAATGATTAACAAACAAACAGAATTTTAGATAAAATGTGATACTGTTCTCCGTTTTCAGCATTTAAAATAAGTTTACTTGATTGCTCTGTATGACCCTTATTCTCGCTCCAGTTTTCCCAGAAGCTTCCTTGTTCCAATCATTTGAACAATCTCACCCTTTTCCCATTTAGACAGAAACTAAAATTTCTGACCAGGAAACATTTCAAAGAAGGGAAAGATCCCCAAGTACTGAACGTGAACACAGAACACAGAGGGCTGGCTCTGTACAGAGCCATTTCAACTCTGTGCCTGTTCAAAAAAGCTATTTAATCAGAAATTCTTGGACTTTAGTCTTGAAAATATAAAGAGTATGTTAAACAGTTACTCAAATGTATTTGCTAAATTTATTATAAATACCCATGTAATGAATCTGATGGGAAAACATAAACTTTCTGTCAAAAAGGTCACTGGATTTTAAAATAACAATAGTTTTACCAACTTGAAAAGTTTCAAATTTGGCAAACAGCAATTTTGGGGTAAAATGCAATAGCCACCCAGTTACAATTCGGGACCCAGTTACAATCCGGGGATTTACGCCCTGCATCGTTATTTAGGAACTAGACTATCCCTAAAAATGTGAGTCTGTGGGTCTTACGAAGTCCTACGAAAAAGTGTCTGTGACAGAAGTACCAGACTTTTCTGCTCAGGACATACAATGCAGCTCCATTTTCTAACTACCTAAAGGCAGAGGTTCTCAAAGTATGGTCCTGGAGCCACCAACTTAACCGGAGGCTTGTGAAAACTACAATTCTCAGGCCCAGGCATAACACTTCCTGAAAGAGAAACTCTGGGGAGTGGGACCTAACACTTTGTGTTTTAAAAAGCACTCACATTCTGATGCTCACTAAAGTCTGAGACTACTGCTTTAAGGCAACCAAAGGCTTTTTAATACTTCCTAAAAATGGGGTCTTCTGTGATTTCAATTTCTAACAAGTGGTCACATAAAAGAACACCAAAGTTCAGAGACTGGCTTTGAGCACCATAAACACTGAGTAAGGTTCATCTGAAGCAGATAAAATAGAAAAAATAAAACAAAAAGTATCTGAAGACATGTACTGTAAACAAAGAACATTAAAAAACCTCATAGTGAGATAACATGCTTTTCATTTACTTCTAATATTTTACATAAAAATATTTTGAATATTAATATATAAACAGATTTCCATTAACAAGGGCCTATAGGTGATGATTTTGATCTTGCATAAGTGTTTCTATTGCTGAAGAATGTCATCTTATTCCTAATACAGAAATAATATATTGCTTTAAAATCAAGATTGAAAAACACATTATAATAAAGAAATCGATTGGAAAAACAAAACATGCATTAGGTAACCAGTAACTGCACTAAAAACAGATACACCACTCACATATTCCATTATGTAAATGAATTCAAAGATATTTCATGACTGATCAGCTAGAAGGGACATAATGATTTATAATTCAAATAACTGAGCACTGAAATCAAATTGAACTAATATATATTTCTAAATATGCAAACCTGAAATAATTGCTAAAAAATATAAATCAATGTACTCATGTTGAAATCATTCCTATACCCTGGTTTAAAATATTACAGCTTTTAAACTTTTATCTAGTAAGTTTTCTAAAAATATAATTTTTTATTTACTTCAAGAAGTACTCAAAAGCAATAAACAGCATATAAAATAAAAGGCTATACTATTTGAATTAAAGAATATATAACAGGTTAAATAGGATAGAAAAAAGATCTTAAATAGCAGACACAAATAAATTAGGCATTATGCAAATTAAACTAAAAGAATACAAATCAAATTAATTTTATACTAAATATCAATTTCAACCTAAAAAATAGGGTAAATCTAAACAATAGATATATGCTATAAAATAACTGAGGCTTCTTTGCAGATAATATGCTCTCAAAGTAATTCATTGTGAAAAGGCCAGAGTTTGCAATACTAGGAAGTACTTATAAACCACTTCATATGTAGAAATAAAGAGTATTTCAGCATTATTATTAGAAAAAAATATGGGTTGAGTTTTTTTTTAATAAGAAAAAATACATATCTTAAAAAGCCAAATGACCATTGGAATTGGGTTGTACATCACTTTCCAGTAAAAAGGAAAAACAGCCTGGACAGGTGTAATTTATCATTTTTCTGATTTAATATCAAAGAAATATATTAAAATAATAAAAAGAATCCTGAAATCCTCAAAATTTGTAGTGATAAATAGCCCTCCCTGTCTTTATTGCATTATACCTACTAACAGAAATATTGCATGGTGGATTTTGCCAGACAAGGACGATTATTTTCCAATAAAAAGTTGCATATTAAATTCCAGCACAAAAGTGGGTGTCTAATACTTTGGAAATCTTTTATGGTTTACCAAGGAATACAATTTTAAACATAACTAACATAAACATATTCCTGGAATGAACCTGCATTAAAGGTTTCTATCCAATGCCACCATTTTCAGAATCTGTTGTCATATTGAAAGATCAGCTAATCTTAGTGATTAACTAATCCAACACTTTCACAAGTCCTATATATTTGATAGCTAACATAGAAAAGACAATCTACATGATTCTTCCTAGTTTTTAGAAATATGACAATACTGTCAACTATAATTTAGGAAGAAGATTCTTGGTTTTAGAATTTTAAAAACCTGCCAGACAGAGAAATCTAAACATTTAATGTATAATGGGAAATCTTATTTTAGATTAGATTAGATGTTGATTTGGTGGGGGCAATAATCAAAGAAATGGTCAAAAGCTTATCATTTTCTTTGTATTACTCTACTGTGCCTTTCAACTAATGAAAATGATGTTCTTTTCAACTGAAGAATATTACAGATACATTTACTCATAGGAATGCAGTTTTTCTAAGGTAATACTTTTAGAATACTTTGACCTCCTTAAAATTAAGTTACATACTTTCTTTTAGGACATGAATTTCTGACAAATACAAAAAAGCATGAACTAAAATATATGTGGTTGCATACTTTCTTATATAACCATTTATTAGCCTAGGTGAGTATAAATATAACTGTAACTACTTAGGAATCTATACATCCATATAAATTCAACAGTGATTCTGACTAAATGCTTCATAGTATACAGCTAATTAAAACCTTTCAAAAAACATGCATTTACAGATAAGAATAAATGAAAGAACTTTTTATTTAAAAAAAATTGCAAAAGTTATAAACAAGAAAAATACCTGGTAAATTAAATGCATTTGCTAGGTTGTTTATACATAATGTCAGATATACAGTGAAAAGGATATCCAACAGAAAGGTCATTTAGGAACTGAAGAGTCCTTGAAATTACAGGCTCACATCTTCCCCAGTATTTAAGGTTTGTAACACTAAATATGAAAAAAAGTCTTTAATTATAAGTAAGTTATTTGCTTGTCTAGGGAGAATCAGAGAATACACATAAATTTATGTAAGTTTGACGACGTAAGTCACAAATATTTTGAAAGTGAAAAACAGGCTCAAAAACATTTTCTATTCTTTCTATAGCATATTCAAAATTATATGCGATCTACAATGAATACTGCACTCCAAATGGTGTATAATTCTATATATTTAGTTTTGTAAATTAAAAAGTTGTCTAAGTGTTTCACCGGAAAACATCAAGTTTGTACCCAAAACATAGGGAGGAAAAGTAGGAGTCACAAAGCCAAATAGAGGCTCACTGTTACTGCCAAATAATGAACCATCAATCTGTGGCTCCAAAACTCACTTCTTATGATCATAACTGTTTATCTAACTTTGTTCTCTGCAATCAAGACAGTGTTGTTTGTCTGTTACACAGATAAAGTGGGGTGCCAGGTGGAGGCATACAAGTTTGGCTATGGGTACAAAGTTATGTCTGTGACTAGAAACTAGTTTATTCTGCTAATATTATAAGTTCAACATAAGGACAGTTTCCATGAATATGACTCTGCCAGACATAGGTTTCTCTTAGAACTAATGAATGCCCTATCAGACCTCTTTCAATGATTTCAATTTGCAATAATCTCTTCATGTGGTCTTTCAAATCAAATATACAGGTGTTTTTCTTTTTAAATTAAAAAAAAATGTTGCCCAATTGATCTGAAGAGTCAAGGTCTGTAAATCCTTTAAAATCATCATCTGATGCTGCACACTCCAGTTGTATGGAAACTTGACAAATTACAATGTCCTTTGGATGGTGAGTTTTCAATATGTGAAATTAAGTTTCAGTTAAGAACAATGCTAATATTCTAACAATTAAAGCATAATTTTAGGTCTTTTATTTAAAAAACTAATATATAAAAAGATTTAAATACAGTAAAAAGATCTATTACATTTAAAACAACAACAAAAGAAAAATCAAAGACCAAAACAAGAACTCACATTTTTGTCATGAATGTTTCTAGAACGTGGTTGTCATCTGTTATTCCTAAGACTTCTGACATACGAGCATATACCTGCATTAAAACACTTCATTGTTAAAAGCTTTATTATTAACATATATTTTCAAAAGACTATTCAAATTGAACAAACATAAGATTTAATGCACTGTTGTATCCACATTGAAGTAGGGAGTGGGTGGGGGAGCAAATGAATTTTTTAAAAAGAATCTTATAATTTTAAAATTTGCTAACTTTTTCCTCCAGACCGTTCCTATTTTGAAATATATAAATGCTTACACACAAACACACCCATATATCCATTTTACTCCCACCACACTACATACATTTTTTTTTTTCTCAAAGTGGTAGATCGCCCCTTTCTAGAAGACAGGAGTAAGTATGCAAAGGGCTGGAAAGTAGAGTACTTCAACAAAAGGCTCCAACACTTAAAAATTTTCCACCTATTCTAGATTTCAGTAAAATATTAACCATTTCAGGATTATTTAAGGCAGTTATAAAAATAAGGATTTTAAAAAATCAAAGGAAGTTAAAGAACTTAAGAGAAATTCTCCTCAAATATTACCTAATTAAGCTTCCCCAAATATACAGGTAGGTCTTACTTTTCATGCTGACACTGAAATCCCAAGCTCAGGGATTCTCTGTTGAAACCATCAGGGCCTGGGAATCCACTAAGCTTCCAATTAGGGAGTGTTGGTTGCAGAGTTTGGGGTGCAACATTTCAGTCTCAATCCAAGCCACATTGAGCTTATAAACACATATCCCACTTCAAGTGGGAAAATGCCACTTATACTCCTTACTAGCCTGGCAAAGCTGAGAGGTGGGTTGACACCTCCATACTCCCTGATGCTCTGGTGTGATTCCAGGTTATCCCTGCCAGACACCAGCTGTATGGGATTTCTCTTCTGTGATTTGATCCTCTGTGATTGTGTTCTCTCACTTTCTCCTAATCTGCCTATTTCTTACCTACAGCAACATAGCTTCTACTCCCTCTGTCTTTTGTTTTTTTTTAATATCTGACAACCAGTTTGATACACCGCCATAGGTCACGAAGGTAAGATAAAAATCACAGGGGCAACACAAATCACCCAGAGCTATAGGGTCATAAAGGGGAGGAAAGCTGCCATTGTAGAAATTTCTTTTCTGGATTTTAAACACCATTTGAACCAGCAGGTTGTGTTCCAGACTTTCAACCTGAGTCCTGTGTCTGGAAGGCTTCTCCTCAGGCTGATGGAGTCAATCAGAGGGAGAGAAAAAGAGGGAGGGAAGGAGGGGTTAGGTGTAAAGGGTGATGGAAGGAGGGGCTGAATGGTGGGGAGAAGCTGGGGGCGGGGCGGGGGGGAGAGAGAGAGAGAGAGAGATTGAGATTCAAATTCCTGCTGCCTTACCTACTAACTTCTGAGCCCTACAGAAAAGCATTTCAATGATTATATGTCTGTGGCTTTGCCCATGAGAGTAGGCCTTCATCTCTTATTAGATTGAAGTGACCATTGTTGCTTGTTAAGATGTTTGGGGGAAAGAGGGAGCTAAGGAGAGAGAATCTAGAGAAGTTAGTTACCAAGAATCCTCAATAATCACAAACCTTCAGGCACAAAGAGGGCTCAAATGAAGAATGATATGTAGAATGGAAAGTTTCCCTAAGCTCACCACGATGCAAAACCTCTCTCATATATAGAAGTATACATATTGGGTCCCTTGGAAAACCTGGTATCCACATGATTAATGGCACACAAAGCATTTGACAACTTGGCCTCAACCTACCTCATCTTCCACATTTCCCTCAACCCCAAGCCACAATAAAATGCTGATGGATCACTGAGGCATCTCATGCAATTTCAGATTTTTATATGTTCATGTGCTGGTCATTTGCCTCAATCAGCCTTCTTCCTCTTTTTCCCCTCATACTCATTCAAAAGTCTCTCCTCTGAAGCCTTCCTAGGCACAGTGATTTGAACTCTCCTTTATGTTCCCACAACATCCAGTCCACTCCTCTATCATGGCACTTTTCACACTGTAACTGTCTGAATGTCAATTTCCCTCATTACACTGAGTGCTCCTTGAGGGGTGACACTATGCCTTATTCTTTGTGTCCCTAATATCACACCTAAGGCAATATTTGTCAAGTGAATACGATGTGTTTTTAACGTGCAGCGGCAAAAGACACGGTCTGGATCTACTAGGACTATTTTATAATGTGAATATTACACAAAGAAAGAAAAATGACTTTTCTCATTAAGCATATATTGGATTCTATGGAAAAAATACATAGAATCATAAATTACAACAGAAAAAGAAAAGTAGCTAGAGAGAACAGCTTGAATATTTAGTAATTGATTATAGCAATTGTCTTTAATTTTATTTTAGTGGCACCCTTGTCAAAAGCAATCCTTAAAATAAGCCCAGTTTTATAAAATCAACTAACAGTAGGGATCAGACACCCTACTGTGTGCCCTGCTTTGCCCACTTGCTCAGTTCCAGGGCCAGAGACTGTGTGCCCTTAACTCTGACTGGAATTTAAAAGGCATGTTTGTTTAACAAAGATGAAAGTATGAATGAGTATGTTTAAACTACAACTCAAAGCACAAATTCTTTGATGGTATACAGAATCATTTTTATAGATAAATGAAATTAATAATAAATTCCATGACATACTGGTTTTGGAAAGCATGTGGTCATGGCATTATCTCAAATCACTTATTTTCTTCTTATTGTATTTATATCTTTACTGGTTAATTTTCTTGTTTTTGATAACATAACTATGGTGGACTTTTGTAAAATCAAATTTTACATTTTCAAGACATTATAAATGCCTATTTTTATGGCAAAACTCAGAAATAATATAATTTTTGTTTTAATCATTTTATTATTTATTTTAAAATGTGATTTTAAACATTTCGAACATTTTAACATTAAAAAATGTGCTTTCTAATTCAATGGGTCCTAAGGAAGTTTTCCTATCGTGTCCCTGGCATTCAAAAGAGGAGGAAGCTAGGCAGGCAGGTCTGTTGTGTTCTGCTGTCAAAACAGTTTCTCAAAGCATCAGATCTGACCCAATAATATACTAGAAAAACAGTCAACATTGACACATGGCAGTGCTTTAATCCACAATTATCCTTGTAACTTGCACCATTCCTTTTATCATCCATTAGCTTTGATTCCCATTATCCCATCTAGAACTGTGTCAACGCTTTTGTCCTTGGGGATTTCTCTCCACTACTAGGATCTGACAGTCAAGCTTGAGTACTAAACAGGATCATTACCTCTTAAATCCACTTATCTGATCTACTGAATAGTAAATTGAAAAGCTCATTAAGAGCAACAATCTGATTTGTTTTCACGTGTGACAGGGTCATTTAAAATCAATGTATGATTACAGTGTTTCTTTTAAAAGATTGTTTCTCATTTTCCAAGGTACCTTATCATTCAGTAACATGCAGAAAACATAAAAATGTCTCCAAACATTTGAAATTTAATTATCCCTTTTAAACACGGATAATTTGGGAGTGAGAAGTAATTTGTTCAGTTAGGAAATACCTACAAAATTGTTTATTATCAATCACAGGTCAATGAAAGTCTTCTACAGAAAAATCTTCTAACACAGTATTTAGAGTTTTTAACACTTTCTACAACTTTTATCATTTCACCCGAAATAATTTTTATGACATCAAGAAGAAATCATATTGCAATATCTATTTTAAGGAAGTATATAGGAGTTACATAGGAATGCAAGAAAAGGAAACAAAACAAAACAAAACAAAACAAAACTCACTTTCAGTCCACAGATTCCTTGTCTCTTATTTCAGAATCTATTAAGACAATCTCATCACAATGAAAAATGAGTCAAAATCTAAGAAATAAGAGACTAAATCGATCTGTGTGGTCATCCTTCAGAGAAGGATGGCCAGTACAATGACACTGAATATATGGTTACGTCTTTGGTTATGTGTTTTATATAGTCAGAGATGGACAATCTGTAACCAAGCTTTCGCCTGTCTGAGCCCTTCTCCCTTCTTTCCTTCTTCTGCATTTCATAATAAGGCTGCATAATAGACTGTAAGCTCCCTGAGAACAGAAATGATGCTCTGAGTTTCTTAAATCTCACATGCCTACTACTCAATAATATTTCTTAAATGAATAAAAAGAATATAGGGTTAAAATGTACATTTTGGCCAATCCCATTTCATGTATGATTCTTTAACAAAAGGAAAACAACCCATAAAAGGCATGTGTTTCTCCCCCTGTAAAATAATATACCCCAAATCCTACTTATCTGGGATGAACATTAGTAAAATGTTGTCATTTTAAAAGATGTGATTTTAATGCTTAAATAATATTTCTGGAAGAAGGTCTCCCTGTAGATTCAGTAAGAAGAGTCTTAATTTGAAACCTTGCCAGCCTTTTATGGGCACTTCTCAAGACATATAATAGAATATGATATTTTTGTAGTAATAATTTCCATGTGAATATGTTTTCTCCACTATTTTGACCATGTACTCCTGGAAGGCAGGGGAAATGTCTATTTCTCTTTACATCTCCAGTAGTATATTGTCTTAGAACACTGTCATGATAAATTTAGCGAAATAGAAAAGGCACAGACTTTGGTCCCAAAAACATCTGCATTTGAATTCTATATCTGCCTCTAACTAGGTGTTTCTTAAGGTCTCTGAATCTTGGTTTCTCACCTATAAAACAGTAATAATAATAATACCTACTTTAGGACGGGTGCGGTGGCTCATGCCTGTAATCCCAGCACTTTGGGAGGCCGAGGTGGGAGGATTGCCTGAGCTCAGGAGTTCGAGACCAGCCTGGGCAACACAGTGAAACCCCAAACTAAAATGCAAAAAATTAGCCGAGTGTGGTGGTGTGCACTTGTAAACCCAGCTACTCGGGAGGCAGAGACAGGAAAATTGTTTGAACCCAGAAGGCGGAGGTTGCAGTGAGCCGAGATCATGCCACTGTACTCCAGCATGGGTGGCAGAGCGAGACTCCATCTCAAAATAAAAAAAACCTACTTTATAGGCTTTTGATTAGATTAAATGATGATCCTGAACTCAGAG